GCGCACATACAGTGCGATTGAAACTTCGTGGCCCATGCGCAGAAGTCGGTATTTTGTGGAAGAGCCAGTATTTTGTGGAAGAGCCACACTGAAGGGGCCAAAGAGCCACATGTGGCTCGCGAGCCGCGGTTTGCCGTGGCGCAGTTTGCCGACCACTGGACTAATAGATGGGCTTTCCATTTCCTGACACCCTGGCCAACAACCCTGGCGTTGTTTCCACCAACGCCAGCAAAGACCCTCAGGACACAAGTCCTCGCTCCCAGCTGGGAATCCACTCTGGGGAATAAGGTAAACAGATGCCACGCAGCTGAGCCGGCCTGGCTCTAGTCCAGGGGTGGGCAAACTTTTTGACTCGAGGGCCACAATGGGTTCTTAAACTGGACCGGAGGGCCGGAACAAAAGCATGGATGGAGTGTTTGTGTGAACTAATATAAATTCAAAGTAAACATCATAACATAAAAGGGTACGGTCTTTTTTTTTTTTTTTTAGTTTTATTCATTTCAAACAGGCCGGATCCGGCCCGCGGGCCGTAGTTTGCCCACAGCTGCCTAGTCCTTCCAGCGGGGTCCACACTGCTCATTGCAGCACTTGTAGAAGGTGGTCATGGGCTCGTCTGCAGTGCGGATCTGAAGTTGCATGAAACAGGCACAGGGATGTTCACATTTGGGACATGGCTCTGCAGTAGAGTCCACGTTCTCCCAGGCAGCTGCTCCACCAAGCAAGTCATCCACTTCTTTCCGCTTTGGATACTTCCAATTTGTTACCTTACCAGCGATGTTGTGCACATACGGGCAGGTGTTGCAGGCAAAACAGTGGCAGGGCTGTCCCTCCTCCACAATGAGCCCATTCCCACAGCCCTGGCAAAAGAGCAGCATGAAGGCCGGCTCCCGCAGCCCCTGTGGCCCACCCCGCTCTGGCCTCCATTGATTTTTAGAAAGAGTGGAAGGGAGGGGGAGAGACCGAGAGAAACATTGATGTGGGAGAGAGACATCAATTGATTGCCTCCCGTATGTGCCCTGACTGTGGGCTGGGAATTGAACCTGCAACCAAGGTACCTGCCCTTGACTGGAATTGAACCCATGACTATCATTGGTCATAGTGGGTATGGCCACTACAAGCCTGTGAAAATTTGGGAATACGTAATCCCTAAGACAAAGGAGCTTGCTGTCTTGGCTCTTGGCACTCCTGTGTCTCTCTTGTTTCTCTTTTCCTCCTATCTGGGTTGCCTCTGCAGACATATGACCCTGCTGATCCCACACCCAATGAACTGATGGCCTGCAGCTGTGACACAAACTCACCTAGCATGATGCTGGATTGGACTGTGCTCCAACATGCAACAGAAACTGGGCAATGGCTTTAATCCTAGCCCTACTGAAGGCCTGGCTGGGCTTCTTTTTTTGGGTGGGCGTGGGACGGAGGGAAATGGGACTTGGAAACACAGGGATTTAACTCCATGCAAATAAATGTCACTCATTCTCCTGTGCAAATCTCAGAATTTGTTTTTTTCTCGTGACATTACAAGAATACCACTCCCATCCTAACTGGTGCGGCTCAGTGGATAGAGTGTCAGCCTGCGGACTAAAGGGTCCAAGGTTTGATTCTGGTCAAGGGCACATGCCTGGGTTGCAGGCTCCATCCCCAGTAGGGGGCAGGATGCAGCCGATCAATGATTCTCTCTCACTGTTTCTATCTCTCCCTCTCCCTTCCTCTCTCTATTACAAGAATACCACTCCCATCCTAACTGGTGCGGCTCAGTGGATAGAGTGTCAGCCTGCGGACTAAAGGGTCCAAGGTTTGATTCTGGTCAAGGGCACATGCCTGGGTTGCAGGCTCCATCCCCAGTAGGGGGCAGGATGCAGCCGATCAATGATTCTCTCTCACTGTTTCTATCTCTCCCTCTCCCTTCCTCTCTCTTCTGAGAGAGCTCCCCACTGCTTACACAATCTCAGAGCTTTTCCCATGCTGCTTTCTCCTGCCTCCCTAATCTATCACCAGTGGATTTCACGTAACCCCCTTATGTCTTCTTCTTTGATTCTGAAATATAAAATAAATTGTAATACTACAGCTTCCTGGAGCATGTTTTCTATCTGTTGAGATTTTGCTTCCCAGCAATTGTCACTTTGGCTCAAGTAAACTCATAAAAATTTTCTACAGGTTTGGATGTTTCTTACATCTACAATGACAACATTTCTACTGTGTTGCTAGAGTGAAAACTAACATCAACATAAGAAACATTTAAACCTATAGAGAATTTTTGTGAGTTTATTTGAGCTAAACTGTTGACAATTGCCTGGAATCAAAATCTCAACAGATTGAGATAATGCTCCAGAGAATGTCAGTTTTGCACCTTATTTTATATACTAGTGGTCCGTTGCACAAAGATTCACGCAATAGGCCTTCCTTCCCCTGGCTGCTAGCATTGGTTTCTCCGGCACCCAGGACCCAGGCCTTTGGTCCGGCCACAGCAGCGAGGCTTGGCTTCTCTGCTCTGGCTGCTCCCAGCCCCTTCTTTTTTTTCCAGCTCCTCGAGCGGAGGCCAGGGCTGGCTGGAAGCCGGGGTCATCCCTGGTGACCCAGGCCCCCAGCCCCTCCTTTAGCAGAGCCCAGGGCGGGCCAGGGGCGAACCAGGCCCCCAGCCACTCCTTGAGCGGAGTCCAGGGCCGGCGGGAAGCTTGGCTTCCTCCGTCGCCGGGAGTAACCCAAGCCTCCTGCTCGCTCCAGCTCTGTGACCGCCGCCATCTTCAGTCGTCTTCAGTCTTCACTCTGTGTCTGTGTTTGCAAATTAGCCGCCATCTTTGTTAGGTTAATTTGCATAGTCACTCTGATTGGCTGGTGGGTGTGGCGGAGTACAGAGTGATGGTTAATTTGCATGTTTCTCTTTTATTATATAGGATTACAATCAAAAGAGAAGACCTAAGTGGGTTACCTGAAATCCTTTGGTGATATATTAGGGAGGTGGAAGAAAGCAAATCGGGGAAACCTCTGGGATTGGATGAAAAGTAACATGATAGATACATACATCTTCTACAGAGCTGGGTACAGAGTAGTTAACAGTCAACAATTAACATGATAACAACAAGGAGGGGATTTATGGTTTTCTGCCCTGGTGCATTGGTTGTGCCCTGAGAGGTCTGGAGAAAGGGGAATTACCCTGACATTCCTGGGGAATGTCATCATAAATGCAAAAGGCAATAGACAAACTTAGTTAAGGTAAAGATTGACTTTTGTCAGGGAAGATTGACTATCTGCCAGGAATTGATTTTTGTTAAAAAGTTACAATTTCAGACCATCCTTAGTGGTTACTTTAGGTCTCTGTGTTTGCATGTCCACCACACAGGCTTTCCTTAAGCTTGTCAGGTTAGCATGTGGCCACTTTTTGTCCACACCAAGGAAGTAAAATGTTTGCTTTTTGAATACATAATTCTTCCTAATTACTTAGAATTTTTGTTTTATACTCTTTTGCTGGAAGCCAATTCCAGCATGTCAGCAAGGGCTGAATCATCTGAAGTGGCAAGGGCATTTCCCCAAACCTGAAAAGGATGATTGCTTGCTGCCAGACAGCTCAGGGCATCTTAATCTAGTTGATGTTATTGCCTCCTACTGGCCAAACACCTGAACAGCCATAGGCAATTCCCCATTCTAACAATGGACTCTGTATACGAAACAGGAAACCTGACCCTTTGATGTGTATATCTCTGCCTCGCCTTAGGACAAATTGTGTTAATAAAAAGCAAGGGGTCCTGAGATGAGGAGATCTCAGTTTCATTAGCTTGGCTCCTCTGACCCCCGAATGCCTTTCAAAATTATGCTTCGTCTCTGGACTCTTTATTAAGTTTCACACAGTCCTTCTCCAGATTGCTGAACCCTTCTTGATGCTGGAACAAGAACCCCAGCACTCTTTGAAACAACTTTTTAGACCTACATGTAGATTTTAATCATTTCATTATTATGTAAAGGGTGTCCCAAAATTCACGCAAGATTTGAATTTTGCGTGAGCATTAACAACAACAAAAAATAAAAGCCTAATTTTACTTTGTTTATTGAATCAGAATCTAATATCTGTTGCCCTTTGATTTAAATCCCTTCAATTTGATAAGCATTACCAAGTACCAATTATGGGCCAGGAGCAGAGACAATGAAGACCAATGAAGACCATGGCTTTGCATATGTGCCAGGAAAGCCGTGGAGGCCATTTACCCGATGTGCTATTCCATACATAACCCTATACTGTATACTTTATGAATCAATAAAAAATTTACAATTTTTAATTATAAACCTGTGTTTTCTATCAAAATTACTTCTTGCGTGAATTTTGGGACACCCTTATATATCAAAAGTAAAATATGAATAAGTCAGTTTAATTCTTAGGGCTCCTTGAAATTTTTGTTCATTTTTTTTAATCATTTTTCAACACAGAGTTGTCAATGCCCATATTTTGTCATAACTTTTTTTTTTATATATATTTTATTGATTTTTTACAGAGAGGAAGGGAGACAGAGAGTTAGAAACATCGATGAGAGAGAAACATCAATCAGCCGCCTCCTGCACATCTCCCACTGGGGATGTGCCCACAACCCAGGTACATGCCCTTGACCAGAATCGAACCTGGGACCCCCCAGTCCACAGGCCGACGCTCTATCCACTGAGCCAAACCGGTTTCGGCTTGTCATAACTTTTATTTTAATAATGTACTTTTGGATCAAAAGGGGTCACATATTAAACTTGACAAGCCCAGAGAAGGCCTGCACGGTGATTTTACAAATTCGGAGACCTAAGCAATCAGATAGGTTTATGGTGGGCAGTTAGACAGACATGAGCAGAGCAAGGACTATGGGCCAGGTACAGAAGGTCATCAGGATGGAAAGCCCCAGGAGCCTAGCAACAATCAATTGTAGGGGGGCCATCACCTCCAGGGTGACTGTTCTTCTCCTAGCATATTCCTGGTAGTTAGATTTGCACCTCCTCCTGTTTCTTCCTTAGAGATAACATCTATACTTCAGTTGTATTTCAGCTCTAGGCCCCCAAAAAGCAGCAAAACCAGACCGGTGACCCCATAGTTGCCTTCAGGACCGGCTGCATTGAATAATCACCCCCTGCCCTGGCATTGACTAATTAATCAGTGGAGACCACAACCCTGAAAGGACACACCTGGAAAGCTGCTGAATATTCTATTGAGATCTGCTGGGGCCTCCCTAAAATCTCCATCCTTAAAACCCTAAGGATGGAGGACCAATGAGATCTCCCTCCCAGGAGCACCCTCCGTGCCCCCACTCTCCCTTTCCCTTCTCCGTCCTTCCCCCAGGCATGTTACCATTAGCTTCCTCACTCTCAAGCTCCTAGGGCCCCTCCTTTACCTCTATAACTCCTTTCCTCTTCTACGAATTACTTTTTCTACCTCTGTGATTTACCAAATAAATGTTCTCTTACAGTTTGGTTCTTGGCTCTGAATTCTTTCCTAGCCAGAATACCAAGGTTGCTGAACCCAGGTTTGGTCTGATCCCAGGTGCAGTTCCCACCACCTACAATAGGTTGGTCTGACATTAAGACTTTCTAGCTAAAGGCTGGCCATGGTGGGCAGTCACGTTTTAGACTAGAATCTTCCCTGACAAAAGTCAGTATTTACCTTAACTGAGCCTGTCTAATGTTTTATGTTTTTTTAAAAAAATACATTCTTATTGATTTCAGAGAGGAAGGGAGAGGGAGAGAGAGAGATAGAAACATCAATGATGAATGAGAATCATTGACTGGCTACCTCCTGCATGCCCCCTCCTGGGGATGGAGCCTACAACCCAGGCATGTGCCCTGACGGGAATCGAACCATGACCTCCTGGTTCATAGGTTGATGCTCAACCACTGAGCCAAGAGCCTGGGCCTGT